TAGTGACAGAAACTCATGGAAAGAAGTATAACTCATCACTTTCTTCCTAGGGGAGCCAGACATGGTGATACACCTATAATCCTAGTACTTGGGAGGCTGAGCTGGAGGATCACCATGACTTCAAAGCCAGCCTGGGTTACATAGTACATTCAAAGGCAGCTGGACCTACATGGTGACAACCTGTCTTAAAACAAAACAAAACATTCTTTCTGGGAAGAAAATTGAAATTGTCAAAAGAAGGTAATCTTTTCAACATTTTAATTTTACGACTTTTATTAGCACATCTTCAGTACATGATAATTATATTCGTCATGGAGAGTTGTTTAAATGTACATAAAATATTTCAGTTGTTTTTCTTTCCCTGGAAGAAGGCAATTGAAAAGAAGAAGGTACATGGAGGAGGTAAATGAAAGATGGGAGAGATTACAGCAGGCCTGGGCAGGTCTAAACACTGCACATAGCATTCTGGGGACCACCGGTGCCTCCTGCTACTAGATACCTATAATTCCATCCGTGAAGCTCTGTGTTTGAATATCATTTGTAGGGCACTGTTAGAGTGCACATACATAAAATAGATGAGACAGGAGGCCATAGGAATTCTATAGCTTAATAACTTCACTTTGAAAAGAGAAATCCACAGTTCTGGGATACAGGAAATTACACAGCCGGGCTTGAAGAATGCTACAGAAATCAAACAGCAGCTTTAAATAAATTTTTCTTCATGAGCTAATGAAGAGTATAATTATGGACCATTCCTTCAGAAACACACTCCTACCCTGGCCCTACCAAATCTGCATTGAATTCATGGGCCCTCAGTATGAAGTTAAGAACTCCTGGTCTGAAAAGGGGTGTGGGCCATCCTGGAGGAATCTACCTCAGAGATCTCAGGGTCGGAGGGAAACCAGACGGGAAAGGGAATTCTCTGGAAAAAGAGGTGGAATTTAAACAGAAATTCTGCAGTTTCTCAAATACCTGCTGTACTGCTAAGTTACAGCCCTAGCCCAATTTTTTTTTTTTTTCTTGTCTTTTTTGAGACTGGGTCTTGCTATGCAGTTCAGGCTGGCCTTGAGCTCACTTTGTAGTCCAGGCTGGTCTCGAACTCACAAAGATCCTCCCACCTCAGCCTCCCGGAGTACTAGGATTACAGGCGTGAGCCACCACGCCCGGTGAGTCCTTTTTACTTCCATTTTGAGACAAGCTCTTGTTGAGTTGCCCAGGCCGACCTAGAACTTGTGACTTTCCTGCCATGTGTAGGCCCAACACCTGTTACCAACTGAGTACCAAGCAAGTAATTTTTTTAAATATTAGTACCATTTTAAATGTGAGTCTGCTTGTTTGAAAGCTAGTAATGGCCATAATCCATTTAACTTATTATGGAAAATGAAGTTGTACTTGTAATTCCCGAGTTGTTTTCACTTTCCTCTCTTCTTCTCTCAGGTCAAATGGCACTGTGGGCCTATTGTAGTTTACTTCTTTGCTACTAAAGAAAAACACTTGGGTCTCGCCATACAATTCAGACTGGTCTTGAGCTCTTTGTAGCCCAAACTGGTCTGGAATGCACAACAATCCTGCCTCAGCCTCCCAAGTGTTGGGATTACAGGAATGTGCCACCACGCCCAGCGTTTTTTTTTTTTTTTTTTTTTTGAGACAGGGTTTTGCTATGCAGTGCAGATTGACCTCAATTCAAAGTAATCCTCACAAAAAAAAAAAAAAAAAAAAAAAAAAAAAAAGTAATCCTCACATGCTTCAGCCTCTGGAGTGCTGGGATTACAGGTGTTGGCCACTACGCCCAGCTTTATTCCTTACTTTTATGGGAAAAATTAAGCTGTACTGGGAAAACAGACCCTAATACTTCTAGCCAATGTCTACAGAAATCTGCTTTCAAAACGGATGTCGTGACTACACAACTGTAATCCCAGCATTTGGGAGGATGAGATAGGAGGATCACTGAGTTTGAGGCCTATCTGGGCTATACATTGAGTTTCGGCCTAGCCTGAACTACGTATTGAGACCCTGTTTCAAAAAACAAAACAAAAAAAAAAAAAAAAAAAAAAAGAAAAAAAAGAAAAATAATCTTCTTTCATTATAACTAATATAAATTCTTAGCATACACATATAAACATGCAACGCACAATATCCCCTTGGTAGCAGATGTGTTACCATCATGTCTAAAAATGCAGCACCATTCACAGAGATACTACATTCAGAGGAGAGGTATCAAGAAGGCAGATTAGCACCTAAACTTCCTTAATTACACCAACTACTGAAACTTTTAACATTGCTGTGAGTAAAGATTCATTTTCTGAAGAGGGCTTAGGGTGTGACGTTAAGTAAAAGAAACCTGGGGTGGACTTATGTAACAGAAAAAGGCCTAATGACCCAGTTTAAACCCACAATTTTCTCACAGTACTTTTTAAAGTTCAGGCCCTGAAGAGTTAAAAACTATTTTTGCTTTTTAAAATTGTGGTGCTGAAGGGTCTAAATCACACCCTCGCACATGCGAGGCAAGTGCTGCACTACAGAGCTACACACATCTCCACCTCCTAAGCATTAATATTACCTTGAAGGGCAACCTGATTTTCACAGCTTTTCACCCCTGTCCATGGTATCACTATACAAATACCCTGAGCAGCATCTGCCAATTAAAAAAGAAAAAAACCTTTCAAAACGAGGCTGTCAGAATTGCCATGACACTTTCTTATATAAAGGATGTTTTTTCAAATTATAAAAAGCAGTGAAGGTAGCAGTACAAACACTTCAGAGGCTCTAAAAAAGCTTACTGGTAGTAATAAAACTCCACATCAGTGTCCACTTTTGTTCTCTATGTAATTAACTTCATGTATTTTACTAACCATATCAATACATGTCCAAGTATTTACAGATTCCAGGTCCTTTATGAAAATGCTTTGGTTTTACGTCAACCTATTCTTGGAGCAGCATACTGGTTTTCTTTGATCCACAGGACTTGGGAAACTTATTTATGCGTCTGATTTCTTCAAGAGATACTGTTGCTCATCTTGGAGAAACAAGAATCCTTCATCACAATATTCAGTGAAATCTCAGGTAGTTTAGAGACTTACCTACAAAAGGCAAGTCAATAAAACAGAAGAAAATTTAAAGTATTTGTGTAACTTCAAATTCAGGATGGCAGAGGTATTCTGAAACGAAATCCAGAAGACACAGACTAACAGAGTTGTGCACATAAGAGAAAATATTTATAGCCTAAAAGACTCATTAACCTTCAGTTCAAAAGTAATTCAACTAAAAAACTAGTAAAACTGGTAATTTAAAGATGAGTAAATGTGAAGTTTTAAGCATGAAAAGAGCAGTCAATAAAATATTGATAGGCAAAATAAAAATATGCTTTTGGACTGGCAAACTTACTGAGAGCAATGTTGTTCATCTGTATTCAGTGATGATACAGGGTGACATGAATCACAGCAAGTTTTTCACTAATGGCTTCTGTGATTCATGTATATATGGATATTTACATTTATCTAACAGTGAAAAACTACAAAATAATGCAAGTGCTGTGGCTGCTCATACTTTGCAATTGGTTAAACCAAGGAATTTCTTTCTGCTCAACAGCTTACTATGTTCCTAATCCATTAAAAATAATAGCTAGGTATGGTAGCACACACCTATAATCCCAGCATTTGGGAGGCTGAGATAGGACTGCTGAATTTAAGGCCAGCCTGGGCTAGTGAGTTCAAGGGCCAACCTAAACTGCATAGCAAGACCCTGTGTTGAAAGAAAAACAAACAATTATAGATGAGAAAACTGAGGCAGAGAGGCAACAGTTTGTCCAAAACCAAAGAATAGATAGCAGATGCCAATCCAAGTAGTTTAGCTATAATACTTAGCAGCTACCATAGAACAGGACAGACTTTTAAACTATTTACTGAGTTAGTCTAAATTTGCTAAAAAAAAAAAATGTCAAAGTCGTATAGAATAAAATATTTATCAACTGAACTACTTAGCGTTGGCGAAGAGATTATGAGAGTTTTATTTCTAGTCCATTTTGTTAAGTGGTACTTTTTTTCTGTATAGTGGGTAAAATAGAAGAGACTTTTTTCCCTCTCAGCTAAAAACCCAGGTTTCAGAAATTTAAAGACTTGAATACTTTGGCTCAATCTTTCCACAAAATAGATGTAATCAACAGGATATGGAAAGAGGCAAGAATGGAGACAACACAAGATCCTATGCCCCATAGCACACAGGCTGCAGCAGGCTATTTGTATCAAGAGCTCTAAAAGGTTCACCATCATTGCATTGTTCCACTGGTCTGGAAGATGGAAGGAACCAGGAACTATGAATGCAGATGTGAAGTCTAGAAACGGAAAACAGCTAAGGAAAGACTTTGCCACAGGAGCCTCCACAAGGAAGTCCTGTGCTGCCGCCGCCCGTAAAGTAGTTCAGCAGAGACTTGATTTTGCATTTTGGTCTCCAGAATTAATACATTTGCATTAAGTCATCAAACTGGTGGTAATCTGTTATAGCACAAACTAATACAACACCTGAGAAATAATGCAGACACCATTTTCAGAAATACGTGTATTAAAATTTAATGTAGGGCTATCAACTGTTAATCTGAATAAAAGGTTCTGTGTTTCTATGAACCTGCCGAGAAAGCATTAAGACTATAAACTCTCACCAGCTCAGGTATCATTTCCCTTTTCTCTGTACACATTTTGGAATCCTGCAGATGTGTCTGTCCACAAAATTAGTTCTATCAGAATACTTAAAATTGAAAAACAATTATGAAAAGATCCTGAGTGTCAAAATTGTGCTTTAATGAGGCAAATTCCTCTTTAGGATCACACAAAACTAATTTTTGTCTCCCCAGCAGAAATATTTTTGTGGAAATAGTTTAAAACTCATAACCTCAAAGGACCTAAGATGCACATTACTCCCTCAGTGGTATTCAACTTATAAACATGAAGGTTAATTCTTTAGTGGTGTTTCCACTTCCATTTTAAAGAAAATCAGATTAAAAAGTCTTACCACATAAAGGAATATAAAACTATTTATTGACCACTGCTCACCATTATTTACAGTAAGTAAACAATATACAGTAGAATAACATTCTGACTACTACAAAGTTGTTTTCCTGGCTTCTGCTGAAAACAGTAACCCAAATACTGAAAAGATTGAGCCTACATGTAACGAGCACGTCGGGGTCAAGAAAAACATGCAGGTCAGTAATTTTAGATTACAAGTTTGTTCACTCAGTGATTCTAGCAGGTCCTAAACTGTGAACACTTACCACTCAGTAGGTTACCATAGGCCAAGTCTTTAGACATCCACAAATCCTGACTTTTGAGTACATATTTTTGTTGCAAAGCAATGGGTCATGAGGAATCTTTAATGTTCCCTTAACAAGTCTTCCTTAGCTAATTCAAATAAACCAGGTTTTGACTTATTACCTTATTTGGGTTGGGAAGTTGTTAGTAGAGAGAACAATTCTTTTTTTCAGAAAATTTGCAAGTAAACTGCAGCATTTTATTGACTAAAGACACAGATCTAGATTCTGCTAATGCTGTTTTGAAAATATCCACTTTAAACAGTCCTATTAACCACAAAACCACCTCTTTAACTTGAAAAGTTATGGCTTCAGGAAAACGTTTAACTGGAAGTGATTTCTTCTTTTTAATATTTTTTTAATGATTTCTTAAATTGCTAGCATGAGGGCATCCCAAACATGAACTTATCACCCAGAAATTTTTTTTTTTGGTGACTGCTTAAAAACAAAACAAAAACCATTTATATAAGTATTTTATTTATACACACACAAACAAAAAACTCAAGAATGGTCCATAAGCATGTAAGTTATAACATGAGTTCTGATTTAGTTTGACTATGGACAATTCCCCTAACATTTAGAAAAGCAGAGGAAATGTATCAGGCTAGCTCTTTACTGACAAAGAAAGCAACTACAAAAGCTTTTATTTGTTCAAAGAAACCAGTGCTATAGATGCAAAACAAACAAAACCCAACAACTCTCCCAAATACTATTTTCAAAATTAACATATTCAACTTGATTTTCACTAGAATGCTGTTTTTTTCACACCAGTAAATCAAAACCAAGACCCATTATTACCCATATTTTATATATATATAAATATATATAAATGATGTAAGTTATTGAGCTTCATCTTCTGGACAAGAATGCCAGGTTAGTCTCTCTTCATAAAAAGCGATTACAATTTGAGGACATTTCATATTTGCCTCTTTTGCCAGCACCAAGTCAGCCTCATCTGAATCTTTCCTATTGTAAAGAAAAAAATTCAATTAGAAGTTTGAATTATGTCAGCTGAGAACCATTCACTTAACTTCCTTTTCCAAAACAGGTCATGGTTTGCTGATCATCACTTTAAAACAATTATCAAAATAAGAATATTCCTTTCAACAAATAGTTATCCTCTACCTTACAATGGAAATTATTCATTAAAGTTTTCCTAGATATACAGTTGTAATTTTAAAAAAAAAATTTATTCTTGCTTTAAAACATAATCACCTTTGTACTTACCATTTCATGAGAAACATCAATTCCCCACTACTGTCTGTGGCACCAATTATTCGTTCAGGATCAAGACCTCTAGCAAAGCCTCTAGGTTTGTCAGCCTATTTAGAAGAAGCAAAGTGATTAAGTATTACTCCATCAAAGGCTTCCAACAGTGAAGCAGAAAAAACGAGACCAAGAGCCTGAACAAAGAAATCTATGTTTATTTGATGCCCAATATTTAAAATTTCTAAAATGATTGTGAATCAAGTCAAGAGAACATTAGAAAAAACATTAACAGCAGAATAGGGTGGGATTACATTACAGAAAAACCAATTCCTTTATTTCTAGTGATAATACTTATAAGCTCATTAGAACTATTATCTCAAATCACTTTTAAGAATTAAGCCTGAATTATCCACCTATAATGCATAAACATAATGAAACTAATAGAAACTTTAATACTTATGTATGTGATTTACTTTCAGAATCAAATTTGTAATCAACCTCGTTTCCTCAGCTATAAAATGGAACATCTATAACCTTAACAGAATTGTCATGAAGATACTGAACTGTCAACTTTCAAATCAGTCCTCTTTACTAATATATTCTACATATAGGCTTACTGTTTGAGCCAAGAAACTAATTCAGCATCAACATCTTGTACCAAGTTGCCATACTGAGCCAGCAGGCAAGGCAAAGAAATCTTAAAAGATCAGAAGTTACCTTAATTTGTCCAAAATCACACAGGGAAACACAGACTGAATTAAAGCACATGTGTAGTGAATTACTCAAATATTTCAATTCATGACAATAAATCATAAAACTATTGTGACTAAAAAACATACATTTAAAAATTAAAATGTGTGGTAACAGGAACCACATATATATACATGAAAAAAATTTTTTTGGTTTATTTTTTAAGACAGGGACTCACTATGTGGCCTCAAACTCACTGGGATCCTCCTGCCTCAGCCTACTGAGTGCTAGGATTACAAGTGTTCACACAAGGCCTGTCACACAGATCATACATAAAAAGCACTTTCCAGGCAACCAATTGCCAGTAAAGGACTACATCAAGACATGCTATCTGGATTGCTTTCAGTACAATGCAAACGCTTCCATGATCCTACTTTACTAATGTATTAAGACTCTTACCTTTGTATCACAGGTAAGTGGTCTGAAGAGGGATCACACCCATCAATCTAATAAACACAGCACTACTAGTATATTTTAAGTGGCATAAAGTACTCACACTGCCCATCTGTACGCTAACTCATGCTTATCCTTTTTTACCTATTCAGCATTTATAAAAGGCTTTTTAGCAGTATTCAAATATACGAATTTTAAACTCTTTAAAATATTTAAAAAATCAAAGCCTGTCATGAAAAGCTGGTCTAGCAGGCAATGTTTTATACTTACAGCATCTCTTTTTTTCTTTGATTTGCTATCATCAGATTCACTGTCAGATAAAGATTTTCGTTTTGTACCATCTTTTTCTTTACCAGCTTTTTGAGAATTAAGAAATGCTTCAATTAACTCTGGACAATCTAAATTTTCTTCAGGTTCCCATGTATTGTCAGCACTGTGTTCAGTAAAAAAAAAAATTCATTCAATTAAACATGACTCATGACCATCATCTAGATTTACAGCTGCCTGGGGAAAAGATTTTTGTATTACAGGTACTAGTTATTCCTTCCCTTCCCAGGAATTCTTTTGAGAGGATCAGTCTAGATTTCCCTTCATATTGTTTACTTTACAGTTCTAAGTGGGCAATGTGCTATTCTATTCCCGAGATAACGGGATCTAATTCAGAGTAACTAAAGCTACTTATCTTTCCAAATTTCACAACTCGCTGACCTCTAATGGTTTGTGTATCTGTGTGTGTTCTGAAAGCGGGTCTGCTATGTGGCTCAGGATGGCCTTGAACTAACAATGTAGCCCAGGTTGGTCTTGAAATTATGGCAATCTGCTAGCCTCTGCCACCCAACACACCTGGTTTCCACTAGTGTCTTAGTGACACTCTGAAATGTGAGATGTTTCTGGAAAGTGCTCAAATGTGGAACTGATATAAAGAAGGGGATTGGGAAATCAAAAGCCAAATGCAGTCTTGTATGTGACTTACAAACTAATAGTATTTCTTCTATTTTTTAAGAAAAAATTTCAAAATAAAAATACAAAACAGCTATAAAGCATTCCTGGAACAGTCATGCTCATTTGTTTGATACATTATCTACTGCTGCTTTTGTACAACTGCAGAGATGTTGAAGAGACAGTTCATAAAGCTTGTAAGTTATTGCAAGCTACAAAGGGGGTAAGAAGCCGGGTGTGGTGGCTCATGCCTGTAATTCCAGCACTCAGGAGGCTGAGGCAGGAGGATCATTTCGAGTTCGAGACCAGCCTGGGCTACAAAGTGAGCTCAAGGCCTGAGACCCTGTCTCAAAAAAAAAAAAAAAAAAAAAAAAAAAGGGGGTCGTGGGGGGTAAGAATTATAACCTGTGACATATCTAAGGCTAGATGAGCATTTCCATGTTTTTCAGAAGGGCTGTAAAGAAAATAAATTGTCAATTAACAAATGTGATCACATGATTACCCTACACTGGTAGTGATAGCCTTGTAAACGTTTTGTGCTTTGGTTCCAAAAGCCTTTACAGAACTAGATGGTGTTATCAGTACATAGAATACCCTTTTATCTCAAGACTCCAAAACTCACAAACAAATGACTGGGTGAAAGGGGAAGGGGGTGTTAAAACATCACTAATCTTGCATTATTTTCAGTATAGGTTTCTATATTACCCAAAACTCTAAAAACAGTGATGATAAAGCTTTTAAGCTTTTCAAATAGCCCACTGCAGCAAGCATGCCACAGGTTCATCTTAGGTCTGGGGGAAAGACAGACATTTCTTTCTGAATTTTTTAATGGGTAGATTGTGGAGACAGCTTTTAAGGTCCTATGGGATTCTAGTAAAAACTTCCCAATACCTGAAGGTAATCAACTCTGGTGAATTGGTTACATCTAAATTTAAATAGCTCACAGACTTACCCTATTTGGTTCTGCTACCTGTAAGAAATGTTTTAGTAATAAACTATGATTTTTTTGGGGGGGGGGGTCTTTTTTGAGACAGAGTCTCAGGCTATGTAGTTCAGGCTAGCCTCAACCTCGAACAATCCTCCTGCCTCAGCCTCCCGAGTGCTGGGATTACAGGCATGAGCCACCATGCCAGGCTTTAAGCTATGGATTTATGATTCATACTTAGGTTCAACTAAGGATCCTGAAAGATAAAATAAGAACACCTACATCTTCCGTTCAACAGATAATTTCCAAACTGATACAGAGAAAACTTTAAATGTGAACAGTGGGGGAAGCAGGAGATAACAGATATTTGAAACTTAATCATTTATCAGATGCCTATATCCACAACATTCAGGAAATTACCTATCCATTTTAAAATTGTCATTGATTATTAAACCATTTTTGTGGTGTAAGGTAGAATAAAAGTAGATTTGTGCTGTAAGTGCTAAGAGCATCTCTGGATGTTTGAGTTATCTGAAAGACAGCTAGCATTATAAAAAAAGATTATGTGATCAACTTATAACAAGGAATATGTTCCACTTAAAGAGAGTCAAGATACTGTAAACTTAGTTTAAGGACTTACACATCAGTAATGGTGAACCCATTAGAGCTTTCAATGATAAACAGCTGGCTGTGGCAGGAGTTACCCAATGACCTAGATTGCTACAAATGTTTCTGTTTAAGAGCCACTAGTCTGTCTTATATAGTCTCAATGTCTTTTAGTGTTCTCTGTTCACAGGAAAACGTAGATTCTACTCAATACAACTATCTAACTATATTAGAATACATGGTACAATAAACTATAGTCTCTCCAGAGTAAGAAACTAGACTTGGGAGTAATAAACTAGACTCCAAACCTTAAACAAGATCCCTAGAACTAAAAATTTCTTGAAACATACCCATGGGATAACTGACAAAAGATCTAGGCTAGAATTAAATTTTAAGCCCACTTAAGTACAATTAAAAATACAAGCAACAACTAAGTCTCTTACTCTGTAAATCCCTTCCACTTCAGAAAATATTCCACCTTCCCATTCACTACACGGCGGTCCAGTACTTTTTCTACCACAAATTCTTCAGGCTCTGCTTCCTCAACTTTTTTACTTTTTCCATTTTGTTTCTTTCCCATTTTTTGCTGAAATAAAACAAGAGAAAAGTTAAGAAACACAGACTTTAAAGGCTTAGTTTCTTTTATTGTTACATGACTTAAACTGTTACGTGTACATCCCAAGGCAGACATCTTCTAAAGTTAACACACAATAAAATAAAGGAATGCTTTACTTCATTTATTTAGCTCAAACTTATGACCTAACAACCTTCACTAAGTGACAAAACCAAAAACACTATCTGGAAAATACTGTTACCTTTTCCCAAACTATCACCAAATTTACCCAAGTTCTCATTTTAACTGCAGTACAGCAACAAATGACTAAAGTTTTATTGACCACTACAATGAACAGAGTACACAGTACTGACAAGTTTTATAAGGCAACCCATGGTAGATCTGATAAATCCTTTCCCAATTCAGGTATCTATCTATCTTTTTTTTTTTTTTTGGCGGTACTGGGGATTGAACTCATGACCTTGCACTTGCTAGGAAGGCGCTTATGCCACTGAGCTAAATCCCCAGCCCCAGGTATCAATATTAAAAGCCTCAAGGATATAGGAAAGTTAACTGCAAAATGAAAACACAGGTTTAGAATCCTGACAGTCATTGTAGGGTCAACCACAGAGATCACAACTTGTTTTCCTTGACCACTTGAAACACATCTATGTTACTACTGCTAAAGATCAAGAGAAAAAAAAATTAAACTGATTTCTAATCAAATTCCTGAGAGAAGCAGGAGCCTGAACGCAGCCAGTTATTTCTAATAATTCAAGCAGATTTGTTATGAGAGCAATGAAACTAAGTCATTTTTAAAAACCTGAAAAGGTTAATTAGAATATATTAAAATAAAACCCAACACAAATACTTAATTAAAAAACCAACAACAAAACTCAATTTCTCAATCATTAGATAATCTACAAATCCTGCTTACAATAGCAATGCCTCAAGACTACAAAAGGACACTTAAAGCTATGAAAACAAAGGTGTACAAACTAATGTATCAAAATTCTTTTTTGTAAATTAAAAAAGCAGAAAACATTTGATTTTGTTGCACACTATATCCAACTCAGGCCTTCTTAATTTTATTACTCAAAACGTTGAACACACGACCCAGTTACTTTCTGCCTCTGTAAAGTGTAAGGAAGATAAAGGGTGACAGTGGGAAGAACAAAGAAATGCAATAAAGTTTAAAATAAAAATCACATTAAAAACATAAGTGGCTTGGGGCTGGGAATTTAGCTCAGCGGCATAAGCGCCTGCCTTGGAAGCAGGCAGTCGTTAGTTCGATCCCTGGTACCAATAAAAAAAACGAAAAAGACTTAAAAAAAAAAAAAGTGGCCAATCTGTGGTAATTTTACAAAAAACAGAAAGCAACTTAATTTCAAAGAGCATTCGTTTTCTGTACTTATATGCATCCTCAAAGTATCAGTTTCTAAGCGCCTGCCTTGTAAGCAGGCAGTCGTGAGTTCTAACCCCGGTACCGATAAAAGACCAAAAAAAAAAAAAAAAAAAAAAAAAATCAGTTTCTTTTCCGTTCAATACTTGAAGGATACAGGTAGGTAACTGCGAAGCCAATTCTATGATCTGCATTTTGATGTACTGACTATGGAATCCAGAAGAGGTACAGAATATCCTTTTATCATTGATGGCATCAACCTATATAGTATGCCAGACTTACTAATCTTTCATGATTTTGATATATCTTTATGTTTTTCAAAGAACTTGTAATGTGACATGGCTAAACACGTTTGTACATGGTTTCTATACATCTGTAGAACTGGCATAAAATCCAAGATGCAAACTTTGCATAAAGTACCTAGTTTTAAATAGTTCTTGCCTTCTCCAGAATCCAGTACAGATCTAAGTTAAAGATAGCTTTGCCTACATTGACATACTCTTCCATGTTATGTAAATTTGTGTTTTTCTTTTTATCGGTACTGGGGATCGAACTCACGGACCGCCTGCTTGCAAGGCAGGTACTTATGCCACTGAGCTAAATCCCCAGCCCCCATAATTTGTGTATTTTTATTTAATTATTTTTGAAATGAATTTTGAGCCTTTTAAGCCACTATGTAATACCATAATGGTAACCATTTCGTTTTGTCCCCAATTTGCCCCCAGAAAACCAGTAAGAGTTCTGTGAAATACATAGATGTAAATTCTTAACTACAGAGATGCACTTAAAATTTTGGGGGAAAATTTTGTTAGATCCTTACATGTTTTAGGCTTGAATTAACTTACCAATGTAGTTTTATTGGACGCCATTTTTTATTGCAGACTTGAAGAGCTATTACTAGAAAAATGCATGACAAGTTAAAAAATTGTTTTCATGACATAAGATAGGTAAATACAAGCTTTGCTTGGACTTTATCCCACACGTAGGTAACACACGCTGAAAGATACAAATCCAAAGCAGATTTATGCTCCAGGCATTAAGTTGGACTCCTCTGCATATCACTCACTGTTCTAAAATAATCAGTCGACAGAAACTTTGCTAGGGATATTGGTAGCTAAGAAGGCTTTTCGGGGCAAAAATACACACATATTTTTTCCTAATCTGATTCTTATGTATAAAAATATTAGTATCCAATTTTTTTTTACCTTTTGGTTCAAAACCAGATATAATTAATAAGCTAATGGTGAATTTCACATTTTCCCCCTAGCCTTCGGAGCAGTCCAGGATCTCCTTAATTCGTTGGATTTCCTCCCAACTGCAATCCCTTTTCTGATCAGTAAAAACATCGAGATGCTGCAGCTGCATTTCGTGACACTTTTGAGAAGAGCTCATCCCAGGCACGCCCGCGGCCCGGATCCCAGGCCCCTCCTAGCTCTTTCCGGCCTCCAAGCCATAGGTGCCTGGCACCCACCCCTACTCCCTTCCCTCCCCCTCCTCTCCCCACCCCCACCCCGGGGCGCGGGCCTCGTGGTCAGCGCAGTCGCGGGGAGACAAAGGCCGCAGCGCGGGGGCTCAAGGGCACTGCGCCACAGGCCCGCGCTCCCCTCGGGCGGCGGCCACGTAACGGGACGTCCGCCGCAGCCTAGGGGCAGCGGCCACCAGCGCCAGGCCTCGCGGCTGCAGCCGCAAACCTCCCAAAGGCCAGCTCGCCTGCAAGGCGGCACGGCGCCCCCGCCATTGGGCCGGGGGGGGGGGCGAGCGCTTTGTCTAAAGGCCGCTGTCACCGCGGCTCCACACCGGAGACATCCGCGACAGCTTGGTCCCCATCTCACTGCACGCGCAACGCCAGGCCCATCGCAGGCCCCCGTTCGCCCCACAGCAGCCTCTTGCAGCCCCTTCGACAAAAGCGATCGGGAGCAGCACAAGGACAGCTGGGGGCGCCGGCGCAAGCAGTCTTCTAAGAACCACCACCCAAGGCAGGGAGAGAAAAAAAAAAAACCACCGACTTCACCGCCTTGGATGCTCAGTCGCGGGTCCGCAGCGTCTCGGCCTGCGCGCTTGCAGCTCCACTTACATCCAAGCGCGGGGGGCCGGGGCGCTGCGCGGGCCCGGGAGGGGGGGAACCGCCCACGCCGGGCGGCCGCGAGGGGCGGGGCCGGGGAGCAGCGCGGCGCGGCGCGGCCCGGGGGGGGGAGGAGGGGCGCTGGGGCGCGCGGCCGCAGCTCTTACCGTCCGCGCCGCGGCGCCCGAGTGTCCCTGGAGAGGAGGGGAGAAGGGAACAAGAGAGGTCGGGGTGAAAACCGTGACCCGGGTCTGCAAGGAGGAGGCTTTTCAGCGTTGCGGCTGCTGGCGCCAAAAGCGGACTCCGCCCCCTTCGTCACCTCTCGGCGTGGGTGCCCCTGCGCTGAGAGGCGGTGGGCAGGGAGCTAAGAGCTACAGTCCACCCTCCGGTCCCCCTCGGCCGATCACCCCCCAGCCCGAGGCTTTAAATCCGCCGGCCTTAGGCGGAGGCTCGGTTGATGCAACATATTTAAGTTGTAGACTGGAAATCGCTTCGGGTGTTTTTCTGGAAGGGGCCGAGTCACTCCTGTGCTGGGGGAGAGAAAAAGAAGGGAAAAATACAAAAATTGTTCTAAAACGGGAGAACCACGGAGGGTAGGATTATCAGGGGTAGCTGCGTAGGTTGGAAGAGGTAGTTTCCCGGATGGAAGTGGCCGGACTTCAGAACTGCGGCTTAAGCTCCACCCACCAGCGTTAATTTTAAACTGCGCGACCGTTTCTCACCTGCCCTGCGCTAAGGAGGGGGCTGGACGCAATTCTCGTAGGAGCAATACGCAGAACTCGAGCTTTCCGCAATTCATCAAGCAAATTTGCGCAAGTGACGCAAGGTACCCTCGCTAGTCGTAAATGACGGAGGAGAGCGTATTTGGCGTAAAGAGGGCGTAGACCCTCCCGCCCTTGGCGGGGATTAGGGCGTTTACGTTACGCACTGACGTAAGGGAAGACGCGTTAGTGGGGGGAAGGTTCTAGAAAAGCGGCGGCAGCGGCTCTAGCGGCAGTAGCAGCAGTGCCGGGTGCCGTGTGGACGTGCAGTTAGCGGTGTTTCTCGAGCGGCAGCAGTTCTCACTACAGCGCCAGGACGAGTCCGGTTCGTGTTCGTCCGCGGAGATCTCTCTCATCTCGCTCGGCTGCGGGAAATCGGGCTGAAGCGACTGAGTCCGCGATGGAGGTAACGGGTTTGAAATCAATGAGTTATTGGAAAGGGCATGGCGAGGCCGTTGGCGCCGCAGTGGAAGCCGGCCAGCCGCCTCTGCGGGAGAGCGGCAGGAGATCGGGCCGCCCCGTGGCGGTAGTTGTTGAGGTGTTTTCGAGAGGGGTCGGCAGCGGAGGCTTGATTGTGTAAACGCTTTCCCCACCCTCAGCCTCCCGGCGCCATTTCCCTTTACTCGGGTGGGGGATGGGGAAATCTCTTTTGGCGGCCGCGGGCCCTGTAGTGAAAGCGGGGCGCGGGAGCGGGCAGTTTGACTCCCCCAAAAGGCACTGACTTGGGGGCCTGGGCGTCGGGGCGTCGCGGCGGGCAGCGGGTCCTCGCGAGCTGCTCTGCGGAGCCTCCCTTCCCCCTCTCCCGGGAACCGGATTTGGCGGCCGCCATTTTCCTGCCTCTCCTCCTTCGCAGCGTTTTCCTCTTAACTTTCTCAGTTCTATTAGTTTAATTTCTCTGTGGAAGTATAGAAGTGGTTAACTGTGTCTCTCTCTTCTCGGGCTGTTTTCATCTCGTTTCGAGGTGGATTTGGAGTGTTTTGTGAGCTTGGATCTTTAGCGTCCTACGCACCTCATTGCAGGCTCTCTGCCTTCCCCTCGATGAAATGGCGCCATTGCGTGCGGAAGCCACACAGAAGAGCGGGCGGTTGGGGGGGGCACTGCAGGGCTTCTCGGCGGCGGCTGAGAGAAGGTATCGCAGCCTAGGGCGTTGGGGCGCTTTTGAATCGGGCCATATTACAAAGAAAGGTTTTTGTGCTTTTTCAATCTTTGATAGTTTGAGAGAGAGTTTTGTTTGGGGCTGCAGTGATTAAGAAAGCAGTTGAATTGGAAGAAACTCGTTTTAAAAAAAATTCTCGGATTACTGCCGAGCACAGCAGCGAGCGAGATTATTGGGGGGAGGGCTATTCGTTTTAGTAGTTTACTCTTTTCAAGGGTTCTGGTTGAGTTGTGGAATTTTTTCGTTTTTAAGTAATATTTTTTACTGGCAAGTTCAAAGTTACAGGCCCTTATAAGTTAGAAATTATTAAAGTGAAGAAATGACTTGTTTGACTTTGCTTAAAATATGGCTCAGTGCTTAATTCAGAGTGTGTTATGTTCCAAGTGTTTCAGAGTTGAGCACTGTGTATTTGAACTTTGTCACTTTTCTCATTTGTTTGCAATTTTGGTTGATGATATTGATAAGCTGTGATTTTAAGTGAAGGGGGTCTGCTTGGTTACTTTCTTTGACCCTAAGCACATTTGTAAAATAACTTTTTTTATAATCGATAGTGGACATCGGGTAAGTTTGGAAAAAACTATGAGGTAAGTAAGAGTTTTTGCTTTTTGTTAGTGACTTGTAAGAATTGTAGATGTACTTTATATAGTTGTATGTGAGTCAGACTGAACAATTAAAATACAGTGAACTAAAAATTCAAAGTACTGTTTTTGCCGAAAAAACATTTTTTTTAAGAAAGTGTTTCTCTCAAAGAAACTAATTGGAAATTACAGGAAATTTCTAAAGTTTTTAGAATTTTGGACGTTTGACTATATATAGGCAAAGAAGCCCCAATTGGCTTTTAATTACTTGATTTTTGAGCATTTGGAAGAATATGCACAAAGGGGGAATTTCCAGAGAACTGGATTGAAAGCAGTAATGCTGCTTGTTAGAAGCAAAAGTTTTTTCATACAGTATACACCCAAAGCAGTTGGACTGGATGTGTGCCTAGTTACTTGTAAACCAGGTTTGATGATCCATTCTTAACTGCCAGAGGTGGGGGCTCCAGATAACTAAACGGTATCCAAAATATTTTTGACTTGTAGAAGTTAGGACACTGGTTTTATATCGATTTGCCCTGAAAGCCAGTAAGTTCAGTAAGCTTGGTCTAGTTTAATGAATTTGAGGAAAGTGTTACAGTATGTATGAAACTTTATGGCTTTAAAATGTGAATTACTATACTTGTGATAATCGTATCTTACTGTGCCATGTGTTAGCTAAGGTTGTACAATTGTCTTAAAATATCAAGAATGCCTGCCCGACAAAATTTGGTATTTTAAACTTTTCAGGCTTCAGATACTTAAGCTTTAGATATCGCTGATTAAGAAAATTAGTTTTCTAGGTTATAAGATCACTTTAAGGTTATTTTATGCATATGCTAAATGTTCAGGGGTTTTTTCTAATTGAAAATTGTCACATGGAAAAAACACCTTGTTTTTTCTTTTGAGGGGGGAGTTCCTTGAGCTACTTAGAATTGCCACCAGAGGGGGCAATTAAGAAAAAGTGTCATTTCAGGTACCAAAGAATAAAATGATAGAATTTTGCATAAGGTATGAAGTTGTTCTTTGTATTGAAAAAATGCATAAATTTGAGTAAATATGTTATGTTACAAATTTGAGTAATTTCGCTTTTAATAGCTCTTCAGTGACCATCGAATCAATGTTTCCTAGAAAGTTTTAAAATATGTGATGCTAAATTTGCTTAAGATAATTTAATGTCAAGTAAATGTATAGAAGCGTTAATAATGACTTTGAAACTTATGTAGTTGAGCTGAAAATTTTTGGTGTAACGCAACTAATATGCAGTTTAACATATGGTTTAAATTTGATGTAAGTTTCTTTTTTCCCCCCCAGAAAACTTTAGAAACTGTTCCTTTGGAGAGGAAAAAGGTACTCTGCCAGCAGGTCACCTCATATTTAAGAATTTAATTTCCTGCATACAAAGAGAAAATGTAAATAAAAATTGAAATGGTATTTTCCTTTGCAGAGAGAAAAGGAACAATTTCGTAAGCTCTTTATTGGTGGCTTAAGTTTTGAAACCACGGAAGAAAGTTTGAGGAACTACTACGAGCAATGGGGAAAACTGACAGACTGTGTGGTACGTTAATTGTGGAAGGCTGCAGATAACTAGCCCCATAACTAAAGTGAATCGTGCAGAAAACAACTTCACATTTAAAAATTTTTAATTCGTGTTAGTTTCTTATGAAATAATGAAATTAAATACTAAAGATTGCTTTTTGGTTTTAAAGGTTATGAGGGATCCTGCAAGCAAAAGATCAAGAGGATTTGGTTTTGTAACTTTCTCATCCATGGCTGAGGTTGATGCTGCCATGGCTGCAAGACCTCATTCAATTGATGGGAGAGTAGTTGAACCAAAACGTGCTGTAGCAAGAGAGGTAAGCACAACTAAATATAACTGAAAGTTATATCCCAGTAGGATGTAACTTTCAAAACAAGTATTGACTAATGCGGTTGTGCTGGGTTTCTGGACTACCATATTTTGTTTTTTAAGACTCTTTAAAACTGGTGCTTTACTTTATTGTCGTAAAAGAGAGATAAGATAAAATTAAAAGATGGTATGTTTGCAGTCTTGCTTTTGGGGTGTCCCCCGCCCTCAGGTTAACTCTTTCTTACCTACTTTTTGTAGGAGTCTGGCAAACCAGGGGCTCATGTGACTGTGAAGAAACTGTTTGTTGGTGGAATTAAAGAGGATACTGAGGAACATCACCTTAGAGATTACTTTGAAGAATATGGGAAAATTGATACCATTGAGATAATTACCGATAGACAGTCTGGGAAAAAAAGAGGTTTTGGCTTTGTTACTTTTGATGACCATGATCCTGTGGATAAAATTGTATGTAAGTGTCTGTAGGTGTTAGGTTTGCAGCCTTTCCATGTATTGATTTGGGGGACATTAATATTTATGACTTTTATTGTGTAAAGTACCTTAGTATTACTGTGTGCATTTAGTAGAATCTGAATTTTTCATTTCAGTGCAAAAATATCACACCATTAATGGTCATAATGCAGAAGTAAGAAAGGCGTTGTCTAGACAAGAAATGCAAGAAGTCCAGAGTTCTAGGAGTGGAAGAGGAGGTTGGTATTATAATTGGATTCTACTTCTCTTGTAATTTGTCTTAAGTGCTTACTACTAACAAGAGCATGTATTGTAGGGAACTTCGGTTTTGGAGATTCGCGTGGTGGCGGTGGGAATTTTGGACCAGGACCAGGAAGTAACTTTAGAGGAGGATCTGGTAAGTGCAAGTTGGATTAAAGTGTTTGAGAAGTGAAAATGTTCTTGGTGTTAAAATTAGTTTTTGACTAGTCAGGAAATAACCTTTGGGTTGTATTCTGGTGCCTTCTCCACAGCATCTGTCAGATAATAATAGAGTTAAACATTTATCTTGTAACCAAGGCCTGAGATAATAGATTTTAGGTTCATTTGTGGTTGGGTGTTTTTTTGGGGTTTTTTTTTTTTTTTGGTCTTTTTTGAGATGGGGCCTCACTATGCAGTTCAGGCTGGCCTTGAGCTTACTTTGTAGCTCAGGCTGGTCTCAAACTCAAGGATCCTCCCACCTCAGCCTCCTGAGTGCTGGGATTACAGGCGTGAGCCACCACACCTGTCTCATTTATGATTTTTTAAAAACTGTTGATGGGTGATTTTAGCATGTAAATATTTTAGAATAGTGAGTGGGATTATAGGAGGATTAGTGAGCTAAC